TGTGTGTGTGTGTGTGTGTGTGTGTGTGTGAGAGAGAGAGAGCGAGAGAGTGTGAGTTTGTGTGTGTGAGAGAGAGAGATAGTGTGTGTGTGTGTGTGTGTGTGAGAGAGAGAGAGCGAGAGCGTGTGAGTTTGTGTGTGTGAGAGAGAGAGAGCGAGAGCGTGTGAGTTTGTGTGTGTGAGAGAGAGAGAGCGAGAGCGTGTGAGTTTGTGTGTGTGAGAGAGAGAGAGCGAGAGCGTGTGAGTTTGTGTGTGTGAGAGAGAGAGAGCGAGAGCGTGTGAGTTTGTGTGTGTGAGAGAGAGAGAGCGAGAGCGTGTGAGTTTGTGTGTGTGAGAGAGAGAGAGCGAGAGCGTGTGAGTTTGTGTGTGTGAGAGAGAGAGAGCGAGAGCGTGTGAGTTTGTGTGTGTGAGAGAGAGAGAGTGTGTGTGTGTGTGTGAGAGAGAGAGTGAGTGAGTGAGTGTGTGTGTGTGTGTGTGTGTGTGTGTTTGGGCCCAACCATCCATTTCTTTGCATATAGAGGTCATTAAAGAGCCAGTCAGTTGTAACTGTGCCCTGTCCACTTCCCAGAAACATCCATCATCGAGGGGCTCAGATCCCCATTCCCACTCCCCCGAGACACCTAATGAGAGCTGAATTACCAACGGACCATCCAGCCTTATGTTGATTCCATAAACTACAGTATACTTAAGCCAATACAGACACCTAGCCAAAATAAACATATACACCAATGTTTCACAACAGACTCCCATATTCTACATTCACGCTATATAATATAATCTTGTAGCATGAATCATGTCGTTTTCCTCGGTTGTGTTAGTGTGAAAAGCGTGGAAGTTGCAAAATCTCAAGCTCTTATATTCCTCTATTAATATCTCCATCCTATTCAGCAGCAGTATTGTGATGAGTCTATGTCCTTGTGAAGTAGATGCACTACTCATATTGACAGAGCATTAATAATTAATGACCTCAAAAAAGCTCCTCTCGGGACAAGCCTATGAACTGCTATAAAGGCATGCATGCCTCATTTCTACATTTTTAGCATTTAAACATATGCATGTTAAAAAAAAAGAATCAAACCCTCTTGCCAAAATCATGGTATGGCTTTGAATGCAAGGGTATGAATTTAAATGGCCGTTTTAATGACCGCTCCATGAATTGCAAATGAATTCCCATAATGTGATGACACCAGATTACAGCGAGTGCCGCAGCACTATTATCACAGAGAAAGAAGGACTGAAGAGAAACACGCTGCTTATTTTACCGGATGGTTCCAGGAAACCAGTCTTGAGATTTTCGGTTTCCTCCACTACTTCTGAATCAATATAACTGATGCTTTTCAGACTTCAAAAACTGCAAATGTGTGTTTCAAAGCTCTCACGTGATGGCCATCTCAAATATTGTTCGCGCCCTTATATCAGTTCCAGAGGATCCATCTGGTGCACTATTGACGCTGACTTACAGCAAATAGATTTCTTTAAAGGAAAGTGACAGTATTGGCATTTGAAACTTGAACTCGGAGCCTCAGCAGAATAAAACCTCTTGCTAATTGTAACTGAATCTAACCGGTTTAATTCTAGCGTGAAGAGGACCATTGCAACACGTCCCAGCATGCTCTCCCTTACCACAACACTGATGTAAAAGCTTGCCATAACATAACATTACAAAATTGTAATGTTATGGATTGGCAAAAAAATAGTTAGGTATCGCACTTTTTTTAAGTAAATATATTAAAAATCAGTTCGAGTCTGTGGACTAATTTCTTTCACTCTCACCCTCTCTTTGTCTTACACACACACACACACACACACACACACAC